TCCTGCTCTCGTTGGGTCACCCGAGCATCCCTCGCTGTGCCAGCTGGGCACGGCCTCACCCTGCACCCAGCCAACCTTCAGGAGCGGTTCCTCCCTCTGCCACAGCCTTCCAGGACACCGGGCTGTGCAGATATCTCTGGATAAACCCTTGTTAGTCACCGTCAGAGCTCTGCAGGGAAGGGAACACCTTCCCTGGGTCAGCCCTGCCCCTGGCCCCAGGGCCAAACCTGCACCGCTGACAGGAACCAGGAGAGCCCAGCAGTGCCCAGCAGGGTGGGATTGACAGCAGCTCCCAAAGCTGCCACAGCCCTAAATCCAGCCCTGGATTGTGGCTGAGGCTTGTGAGGAGGTGGCTGTGAATGCAGCTGGCATTGGGGCTCTGCTCTTGGCTGTGTTTGTGAACAGGAGCAGTTGGGAAATCGAGATTTAAGGGCAGCACACAGAGGGAAGGAGTGTGCGCTGCTCCATGGTCTGTGCACAGGATTTTCTGTCTGTGCTGGGAGCCACAGAAAAATCCTTGGAGCCCCACCTGTCCAAGGTCTGGTGATGTGGGAGGGACACCACATATGGGCAGAATGGGGCACATTTCTGCCTTGGGGAGTCTAGCTCTGAAACAACTTAATAAAACAATGACATGAATAGTAATAATAGCAATAATAATTTTGGTGTCATTAGAACATGAGTAGCAGTGCATCTGTAGCTGCTGGGAGCCCCAAGTGTGGCCTAGGAGTGACATATCTGTCCCCAGGGCTGGGCATGGCACTATACAGAACCTGCTCTGGGAGGTTCCATCAAATACCCCCCAAAATCTTGCACATCATCAAGAATTTGGTCTCATCTGGGGACATCCTTGTGGTTATTTGAAGGCAGGTGCTTTATTCAAGAGCAATCCTCACCAGCCCAAACCTGTCCCTGCATGGCTGATCCAAATCCTGATCCTAATCCCACTCCCAGCCCTGCTGCCTTTTCCAGCCCCGTTCCTGGTCCCAAATAAAACCTCAGTGCTGATTCTATCCCAGTGCAAATTTCCACCCCAAATGTGATCTCCTGGCTGAACAGGGAGGCTCCCAGAGCCCAAGGACCAACACAAACACTGCCAGGAGCTGCCAAACCCCATCGGGGTCTCACCAGAACCTCTTCCTGCACACCCATCACTCTGCTCCAGTCCAAAGGGACACCTGGCCCAGCCTCGTGGATGGGGGACACTGCAAAACTGACCTGTCCCCTCTCCTGGCTCTCTGTGCTGGGAGGGACACGGGGCACAGCAGCAGGAACCCCTCACAAGGGCAGGGAGGATGAGCACGAGGTGGGGGCAGGCTGGGACCGGGGCTGATGATGCCGATTTCGTTCCTGGGCTTGTCCTCCTCTAAAGTTCTTTTGTTCCTGTGCCCCGATCTGGAGGCCCCGAGCCGAGGGCAGGAGGAGCGGGGGCCCTGCGAGCGCCGCTGCCGACAGCTGGCAGCCGGGCTGCCCCAGGGGGCTCCCCCTCCTTGGTCGCCTCCAAGCTGCCGGCCAAGGGCGGCTTTGGAAGGGGGACAAGATGCAGCTGACTGGCCGGGAAGGTGGGCAACAGAAGAAATCGGGTGTTTGAGAAATAGCCAGCGACATCGCTTTAAAGTGACGCAGCTCCACGCGCCCGGGTGTGGACATTTTCCCATCTCCTCGGCGAAGGCTCCATCCACGGGAAAAACCCCTAAATAAACCCTGGAGGAGGCAGCAGCCAGGCTGACCTCGAGGAAGGTGGGGATCCTGCGGGAGCCTGTCCCTCTGCAGCCTGGGCGACCAACAGCAGCAAAGCCCGACGGGGCGGGAGGGAGGAAAGTTGGTGTCTCCGGCAGAACGGGGCAGGACGGGGCAGCCCTGCCTGAGGCCATCGGTGTTTTATTTAAAATGCGACTGACGGCAGGAAAACCCCGCTCT